CAAGCCAGGAGGCATGGGGTTGCTACTCTACCCTTAATTGGTTTAGTGTGGACTTGGTAATGTTAGGTTGATGGTTGGGCTGGATGATCTTAAAGGTCTTTTCCAACCTAAACAATTCCATGATTTGAGAGCACTCCGCTGATGGACAGGTGTGATGGGGGAAGTGTCGGAAAAGGAAAAACTGCCCAAACCTGCTCTGCTGGGGTTTTTATTCTGAAGCAAGGTCTCTTTTCGCTCCTAGGCTGGGCTTTAGATCCAGAGAAGGTCAGGGTGCTGCAGGAGGGAGGGGAGACAAGACGAGACACACAGCAGAGTTTTGTTTTCCCGCATGGTGCTTGCTCTGTGAGCGGGCCTTCAGGGTGCTGTTGCGACACGGAAGCGTAATCGGTTTGTAATTGCTCAGGTTCCTCTTGGAGGACACTTTTTGGGTGCAGCGGGTGTGTTAGGGTGAAGGTAGGAGAGAGCGGGTCGTGGCCCTGGCGTTTAGCGTGGAACTGGGAGACGAGAGATCCTGGTAGACGTGAAAGATGGTCCAAAAAGCAAAGTATCAGTAAACAGCATTTCTGTAGGTGTCCCACCCAATGTGCCTGTCGAGCACCTGCCTTTGCAGGCTGGGTTTTGGGAGAGACTGTAATAACCTGATGAATTTGGGCCAGGATTAATTAATTTATTGTTGCACTGGGAAAAAAAAAAAACACCCCAAAATTGCCCTGAGCTCTTTGCTGATCAGGCTCAGGTTTCATCCTGGCACCAAAGGTGGTCCCGGCAGCAGCAGTGTCCTGTGCCGGAGGTGGAGGAGGCTGCGGTAAGGAAAACGCCAAGCTTGTAGTTTGGGGACGTCACATTTTAAAGCGATATTCAAGGGGAAGCATTCGAACCTGTGAGTTTTGTAGGGGAGGAGTGGGGAGAAGGAAGGGAGAGGGTGAAGCTAACGCAGCTGGGAAGGTTTTCGGGGGAAGGAGACGCCTTCCTCCCACCCCAGGGTTCGAGGAAGCTCCTCGGCTTTGGGGATAAACTGATAAACGCTGATAAACTCATCCCAGAGCGGGCGAACCTTGCTGGGATGGGGCAAGCCCGTGCTGGCAAGTCTGGGTGAACTGTTCTGGGCATCCTGCAGTGCGTCCACCTCTCCCTCCTCGAGTGTGACGATAAATTGCCACCGGGCTCCTGCAGCGCGATGAAATCCCCCTCCTCGCCCTGGGCCTGGGGCAAAAAGGAGCAGGGCATCAGCGAGTGACTTGAAAAGCTCAGCGGCAGGTGGTACCTGGAATTAAATTTAGGAGAAAATGGTGCGTAATAGGTGGATATTAATTAGAGCCCCAGTGTTTTAGTCACCACAGTGCACTTTCCAGGGGATTAAGCATTGCTCTTGCCTAAATAGCTGGAGAGATCAACGCAGTTAATGCCATTGCAGCGTCGGGAGCGGGATTTCCTCCGGACCGGAGCAGTTGCTGCAGCGCCCTGATATCCAGGCTGCCGGGCGTACTGTCTCTGATCATGGCCTGAGTTAGATTTCCCAGTTGCTTGGAGATTCTTTTGCAGAGTGTGGTTTAGTTTTCTCACCGTTTGGAGTGGAAGGCCGGGAAGGAGCTTTGCCCGCACCACGATTCCCTGGAAAGCGGGCACCCGGTTGAGACAGAGTCCAAAAAATCCCGCTCCTGCTCCCTGGGGGCTGTGACCCCGTTGCCCAGTCACGTGCGGTGGGGGCCAAGCAGTGTGACGGTGACGCAGGGGAGGTCACCGGCCCCCCGTGGCCCCGCAGCTGCGCACGGAGCCGAAGGGAGGACGGTGGCAGGGAGCCAAAGGGGTGGGGTGCCCCCGCCAGAGTCTGAGCGCCGCGTTTTCTGTGCTGTTAGCTTGTGAAAGATTAATCCGGGGTCAAGGTTTTTATTTTGCTGCTTTGGCTGGCGCAAAGACCTGCTGGGTCGTGTGCAAACC